GACAAACTCTCAAAAGCGTAAAACCCAGGGTCACAAACTCACATCTATCCAACCAAATATATATATATATTTACTAAATATTGATTGTACATGCATTTTTATTGTTTTTTTGCCGTTTACATTGTTTTTCTCAATTTTGTCCCTTACTTTTGGACGTTCCAAATTTGAAAATAAATAAATAATTGTTATAATTCTTTTTCTATCCGTTGCAAATGATTCAAATTTTAGTATGTTATTATGGATGATAACGACTACCAGTTGTCAAAATTTCAGCTTTTCACAGTTGTTATTTCTAACAAATATTAGGTTTTAAAATTTTGTCCCTTAGTTTTGGACGCTATTATATATATATATATATATATATATATATATATATATATATATATATATATAAGCTTCCTGCTGATAGTTTATATCTGCTTCCTCCCCAGCTTTCTAGGTTATGGTTCTTTCTCCCGCCTCAAATTGAACTTAAATCTTCTCTATTCCTGTGTTCTTATTGTTCAATATCTCTTCCTGTTTCTTTGTTTTCAACTTGATACCTGAGATGTCAAACCTCATCCCATACATCAAGATATTTACCTCCTTAATTTTTGCCCAACTAGTTGATACCGCATCACACTGACTAAAGCTTGCATACTTCTACAAATGAAAAAAACAACAGAAAAGAAGAAAAAGATGAGCATATTACAGAAAATGTATAGCAATTTTTGCAGATGCAGTGTGTCAAGAGATCATTGAACTAAATCCGGCAAGGCCAAGCATCACTAACATTAGAGGAATCTAATTTTTAAATTAATCCCTTGGCTATTCAGCTGAGTATACTCACCTCATTTAAGCTGAACACATTATGGTTTTCCCCAGACTAGTACTTTCATCTTTGCCAATTTGATCATTCATTTTTAACTCGAATACTTTCTGGTCTTAGCCAATTACCAGATGCCTTGGATAAATTGCCATCTAAATTACACAAAAATGAAAATAACTGATGGAATGGAATAACCTGTCACCCCACTGAGTGACTACACTATAGGTAGTAACTACCTATAAGTATCTGAAAGGCAACGGACGACAGGAGTCTAGCTAGGATCTGTTGTGTATGACTCAGACTTACGAAAGAACTACCGACCTTCCAATAGCAGCACTCACTACTGGATTGACTTGCGACGATCGTGTGGATAACTGTTACCTTATTTCTTATTGTACTGGTTTTTACAATAAACCATTACTTATTTATCTACCGTGTTGTTCAAGTATATATTCCTATTAGCACAGAATATAACAGAAAGATTTATACACTAGCAGCTATAAAGAATGCTTTCTTCCTCAATATGATATGTTTATTCATGCCAGCTACAAAATTATCAGTGATGTAATGGAATAACCTGTCACCCCCAAGAGTAACTACACTATAGGTATCTGTATGGCAACAGACTACAGGAGTCTAGCTGGGATCTGTTGGGTACGACTCAGATTTATGTGAGAACTACCGACTTTCTAATAATAACACTCACTACTGAATTGACTTGCGACGACCTTGTGCATAACTTTTACCTTTATTCTTATTTTTCTGGTCTTTATAATAAACCTTTACTTCAATATCTGTCTATATTTTTCAGATGAGGTATTATATACACTATTTACATTATTCAGACTATTGTCTTCATTTTGTTGCCATATTTATTACAATGTTTCAGCCGTTGTACACTCTGGCCTTCTTCAGATGATTGGAATGTCAAACTGAATCCTTTATTTCGCTCACTGGGGTAGACTGTTCTAGTTCTATGTGCCATGTTTAATGGATGTTAATTGTCAGTTATCTCCTGTTAATTCCCCTCTCTAAGTTCTCCACTGCCTTAACCGAGTATTGAACTCACACTATTTGGGTCCTGTCACTGGATCTAACTAATGCCTTTATCTTTATTTTTGTTAAAGAAATTACTAATGCCCCCAAGAAAATTAAATTTCGGTATTAAATGACCCATATAGGAGTTGATATGCTGCTAAGCAAACAAACAACTCTGAAAGAAGTTTTGAACGAAGCACAATATCTCTACATAGATATTTACCCTGGTCTCTCCAATGAGGTGTGATGTGACACAAAATCAGGTATGCTGTGGGGACCCCGAGCGCGTACACCCGGGCCAGGGCTAAAAATTGACCAACTCCAGCAACCATCGGTTGCCCAGGCCTCGGCATGACTACTGATCAACCCGCTCTAGTGAATTGGGGCGGGGTGTGCAGCTGTTCCCCGGGACCGGAAACATCTCAGTATTTTGTTTTTGTCAGCTCTGTCTTTGCCGTAGACAGAGGCGCAACTGAGCCGCGCTCAGCCTGAAGACAGAGACGAAACCGAGCCGCACTCAGCCCAAGGACAGAGACGCAATTGAACCACGCTCCACTCGAAGGTAGACACGCAACTGAGATCATAGCACTAATTACTGTATTTGCTGGCATCAAACACGCAGTTTTTTCCTGAAATAAGTCTCGAAAAATTGCCGTCCGACCTTGACGACAAATGTTTGGATTTTCGTTGATCTATGAGGAAGGTTATCTATGCCAAACTAAATTCCTATTGTTTCAGGAAAACAAAACTGCATCCTTGAGGTCGGTACTTAACTCGGAGCACCAGCCACAAATGAGTTTCAACGTGAACGGGTCGTAAACCTTTGAGAAAAGTGATAAAAAGCCTACAAAACACACCTGTGAGTAATTAGAACTGATAATATTATGGCCAGCTATCTTGTTCATGCCATAAGACTCTTAACAAGCTGGGTTCAGTTTTGGAGTTCTGAATACGAAAAGGCGCGAATTTAATTCATACGGCTTAATTCTACTGATGATTTCTCTGTTACAAAGATATGGGTGTCATTTTTAAATTACTGGCTTATTTATTTCACGGTGAAAAGGTATCATGATACTATAAAGCACTTACTAATTACAACTACTATAAAATGTTCGTTTTTGTGTTTCAGTTTTATGACTTGTACAAAAAAGTGTCGAGGTTAGGAGGAAATGTTTAATTTTTGGTTCATTTCCATATTCGTGACACTTTCTATTGAAATTTTTCAAACTTCGTTAAAAAGAAAAATAGATAAATTCCTTTTCTCATTACCACTGGCGAAGCTAAAGTGCGTGTGCCTCTTGGGGTATATTGCGCACAGCCCCTCTCCTTACTACCTGCTCCTCCCATCAATAATACAACATATTACACAATAACTCCCAATTCTCTCTCTCTCTCTCTCTATATATATATATATTATAAATTAATGGATTTAAAATATGGTTTTTCCGCTACACAGTTCTAACCATGTTTCAAAAATGGAAGGTCCGAATTTAATTTTGTAATTAAAATAAAGACATTAGTTCCATTTCATCCTCAAGCGAATTTTGGAGTAACTTTTAAAAATTACTGGGTTTTAAATATTTAGAAATCAATTAATTTATAATATTAATGCTCTGTAAACTTACAATGAGCACTATTTTGTAAAAATAAAAATATCACCGGATTATATATCTTACTGTTGTTCTTTTATTATATTATATATATATATATATATATATATATATATATATATATATATATTAATTATTATTAAGAAACAGACAACTTTGAGCAGATGATTATAATTTATTTCCTTAGGACAGGGATATAATCCTAATTCCTCAAATCGACTATTTCCGTACAATATATATATATATATATATATATATATATATATATATATATATATAGATAGATAGATAGATAGATAAAATGTGTATGTATATAAATATATGTATATATGCAAATTTTTATATATATTGTTTATATATTATATATATATGGTACTTACTGGAAAGCGCTCAATATGAGTGATATAGCTAACATATTTAGTTGGATTGATGTGAAGTTTGTGACCCTAGGTTTCACGCTATTTGAGTTTGTCTGAAGATCACAAATAGAGTGAAACTCAGGGTCACAAACTCACATCAGTCCAACTAAATATATATATGTGTGTGTGTGTGTGTGTGTGTGTGTGTGTGTGGATTTCAGATAAGCGTATGTCTATAAAAGGACAAAATTAATAAAGACAAATGGAAAACTTAAGACATGTCTCATTAAATAATTTAGACAAGTTTTGTCTTTTTATTTTTAATAGGGTCCTCTCGCAATTACGGACAAGTTTTTCAGTATCCTTATTAAAGAAAGAAATGGAATTACTATACTGATACATATTCATTTTATTCCGTGTACTTTTGACGTTAGCACAATGTCCTCATCAGGGGCTTGTTTTCTAAAACAAAAAAATTCTTTCAGATATGGTATCAATATGCAATGAACGGATTTGTAAATGGGCAAGACGAAACCTTGTAGTAAAATTTTCTGGCCTGACACAGTAAACAAACTTTCCTAGCGGCAAACTTAGCAGTTGATTCAATATAATCGTTCTGTTTCAAGTGAGAGGAAAACGTGATACGAAGAAGGCATGATGGGTTTCTCTCCTGGAAGATTAACATCACCCATACTGATGGAAGGCAAAAATAGTTCTCCGTGATGATAGCAGATTCATTTTGGAGGCATTAACATTTACCAGCCATTTCTTGCCCCATTTAACAACTGACTGGGGGGTATTTTTGAGAGCAGCTGACAGTTATACTTCATTGAACTTACTATTATTTTTTGTTTTATTCTTGTTGAATTATAAGACTTTGCTTTTTATTACATTCATTCACCCGAGACAACGTACAGTCATATTCTCTGACAGAAGTCTTTACACAAAAATTCTCTCGAGACAAAATAAAATGGAAGGTTTTTACTTCATTACTCAATTGCGTTCATAGCTAATTGTTTCCGGTTGATACTGCAAGATAAATCTTCTGACTGCTTGAATTGCAGCATCTCTCTTCCTCTGTGTGTCACTCACAGCGATCTCCACTTTTCTAATGGAATGTCAACGTCACTCAGTGACCAACAATTTATACACTCACTGAACAAGAACTGACAGAAGGCGACCTTAATGGGTCAAATAGTGTAGTCTTTATTCAATTTATATAGTAGTCTAGTATTTTTGAGTAGAGTGTTTTATATCTACTAATTTTTACTGGACCCTCCCTTTCTTCATTCCATTCCTCTTTCAACATTACACTTTTCTTTATTTAATCTTCGTTTCTCTGTTTTCTTCCTCTTTGTAGGCCTTTCTTCCTTTACTCTCTCTATTCTCTCGTCTGCCTCAAGTCTTTTTCCCTTGCCCCTTGGCATTCCCCGACTTTTCCTTTCCTTTTCACATTTTACACATTTCACGTTATATACTTATTTTCTTCGCACTTTACCTTTGTTTGTTTCTTTCTTTTTTTCTCTTCTACCTTTTCTTTCTTTTTCTTTCTTCTTCTCTACATTTGTTTTTCTTTTTTCTTACTTTCTTCCGCTCTATCTTTCCTTTTTCTTTCTTTCTTTCTTTCTTTCTTTCTTTCTTTCTTCTCTTCTACTTTTTCTTTCTTTCTTTCTTCTCTTCTACTTTTTCTTTCTTTCTTTCTTCTCTTCTACTTTTTCTTTCTTTCTTTCTTTCTTTCTTTCTTCTCTTCTACCTTTTTCTTTCTTTCTTCTCTTCTTTTTCTTTCTTTCTTTATTTCTTCTCTTCTACTTTTTCTTTCTTTCTTTCTTTCTTTCTTCTCTTCTACTTTTTCTTTCTTTCTTTTCCTCTACCTTTCTTTTTCTATCTCTTGCTCTACCTTTTCTTTTCTTTTTTTCTTTCTTTTCCTCTACTTTTCCTTTTTATTCTTTCTTTATTTCTTTTCCTCTACTTTTCCTTTTCTTTCTTTCTTTCTTTTCCTCTACTTTTCCTTTTCGTTCTTTCTACTTTTCTTTTTCGCTCTTTCTTTCTTTTCCTCTACTTTTCCTTTTCTTTCTTTCTTTCTTTTCCTCTACTTTTCCTTTTTGTTCTTTCTTTCTTTCTTTTCCTCTACTTTTCCTTTTCTTTCTTTCTTTCTTTTCCTCTACTTTTCCTTTTCATTCTTTCTTTCTACTTTTCCTTTTCGCTCTTTCTTTCTTTTCCTCTACTTTTCCTTTTTGTTCTTTCTTTCTTTCTTTTCCTCTACTTTTCCTTTTCGCTCTTTCTTTCTTTCTTTTCCTCTACTTTTCCTTTTTGTTCTTTCTTTCTTTCTTTCTTTTCCTCTACTTTTCCTTTTCGTTCTTCCTTTTCCTCTACTTTTCCTTTTCGTTCTTTCTTTTCCTCTACTTTTCCTTTTCGTTCTTTCTTTTCCTCTACTTTTCCTTTTCGTTCTTTCTTTTCCTCTACTTTTCCTTTTCGTTCTTTCTTTCTTTCTACTTTTCCTTTTCGCTCTTTCTTTCTTTCTTTTCCTCTACTTTTCCTTTTCACTATTTCTTTCTTTCTTTTCCTCTACTCTTCCATTTCTTTCTTTCTTTCTTCTTCTCTCCTCTGTCTTTTCTTTCTTTCTTTCTCATCTTTCTTTTTATTTCTTTCCTTCTTTTCCTCTACCTTTCCTTTTCTTTCTTCTTCTCTCCTCTGTCTTTTCTTTCTTTCTTTCTTCTCTATTTTCCTTTTTTCTTCTCCTTTATCTTTCTTTCTTTCTTTTTTCAACTCTTCCTTTCTTTCTTCCCTCTCTTCCTTTCTTTCTTCCCTCCTTCTCTTTCTTCATCGCCTTCTTTTCCTTTCCACTTGATTTCTCACACTTTCCCTTCTCCCTTCTCTTGCAGTCTCTTGTTTTCTCCCTCTTCTTCTCTCTCTCCCCCTCCCTCTCTCTCTCTTGGGTCATTCTCTCAACTTCTTTCAATTTCTCTATTTCTCCTTTTCACTGTCTGTTACTCTTTTATTTTATTATTTCTTTCTCTCTTTGTTTTTCATTCTCTGTCTCTCAAATATTAGACAATTTTCAATCCAAAATGTATTTGAATCTTTTTATTGATTTTACCCATTAATCACACTTTAATAAATCATTTCCAGTTTTTATTCAAGTAAAGCACAATCCTTTGTCTATCAGTAATTTTATTAATAAAATTAACAACAAAAAATCCAATAGGTTAGTGATAGTTGAAAAGCAAAGCTGATGGCATATCGCCAAAAATTCATCTCATTTGTATTGATGGATATTATACATTTTTTAACTGGTATCACATATACAAGAGAAGATGAAGTTGTCGATAGTTTTTACTAAATTTTCTTTATCTTATTTTTATTGTCCAATTGCCTTCCAAAAGCTAAGCAAAGTATGAAGAAACAGAAAAATTCCATAAGAAACAAAGAAAAGAGTGCTGAATTGTTATTGGTCCTTCTATGTGGCAGCGAATGCTGGACAATCTCCTCACAGATGAAGAGAAGACTTGAAGTAGCAGAAATGGGGTTCTACAGAAGGATGTTGAGGATAACACAGACTGAACATGTGAGCAATGACAAAGTTTTAGAGAAAATGGAAACTAAAAGGAAAGACATGGTACAATGAAGAACAAAGAAGATATAATAATCCGAAGTTGTCCATATTTCTCTGATGGACTGTTTTCATTATTATTAATTTTTGATTATTTTCTTCATCTCATTTAATCACAATGAAAGAAATAATTTCAATAAATTTAAATATATTCACAATCTCCCATCTCTAAAACCTGCCATGATGAGAAAAAATATCAAAACCATCTGACTTTGAATTTAAAGGCTCCAAAATTACATCACTGGGGGGGGGGCTTCAGGATGGTGATGTAGTGGATATGGACATTGGGTAATCACATTTTACTGTCATTTATTGGTTGTGAGTTCAGGCAATGAAATAATATACTTGCACAATAAACTGCATTTCAAGAACAAACACAAGAATCAACATATAAGATATTCTAAAATAATGGATGCCTGAAGATACCCAGAAGGTATTTGGCCGAAATTGTATCTAAAATAGCATCTATAATAATCAAGATGAGAACAATAACTTGAATAAATCATATACTGTCACCCAGTTAGAAGTAGTAGATATAATAGTCTTGTTGGAAAAGTTAAGGTAGTTAAGGAAAAGAAGAAGGCAATCGTGAAAGAAAGAAAGAAAGAAAGAAAAGATAAAGGAGAAGAAATAAGAAAGAAAGAAAAGGAAAACGTATAGGAGAAGAAATAAAAGGAAAGGTAGGAAGGAAGAAAGAAATAAAAAGAAAGGAAAGGTAGTAGAAAAGAAAGAAAAGAAAACGTATAGGAAAAGAAAGAAAGAATGAAAAAAGAAGAAAGAAAGAAAAAAGGTAGTGAAGAAGAAAGAAAGAAAAGAAAAGATAGAGTAGAAGAAACAAGAAAGAAAGAAAGAAAGTAATGAAGAAATGAAGAAAGAAAGAAACAAACAAACAAACAAACAAAAAATATAAAGGAAAGACGAAGGAAAAGATGCAAAGAAAGAAAGAATGAAAGAAAGAAAGAAACAAAATATAAAAGAATGATGAAGGAAAAGGTACAAAGAAAGAAAGAAAGAAAGGATAGTTAGAGGAAAAGAAAGAAAGAAAGAAAGAAAGAAAGAAAGAAAGAAAGAAAGAAAGAAAAAAGGATAGTTAGAGGAAAAGAAAGAAAGAAAGAAAGAAAGAAAGAAAGAAAGAAAGAAAGAAAGAAAGAAAAAAGGATAGTTAGAGGAAAAGAAAGAAAGAAAGAAAGAAAGAAAGAAAAAAGGATAGTTAGAGGAAAAGAAAGAAAGAAAGAAAGAAAGAAAGAAAGGATAGAGGTAAAGAAAGAAAGAATGAAAGAAAAGGTAGAGGAGAAGAAAGAATGAATGGGAGTGACAGAAAGAGGAGAAAGAAAGAAAGGCCAGAGGAAGAAAAAAGAAGCAATTATTCACATTTCATAGACAGTTTATATTAATCATTTGTACATGCGTTCAAGGCTGCTACTGTAAGGAGGCAAGTAAATAAAGGAATAAATATGTACTATCATCCTCTCTAAGGACGAGGCTCTCATCAAATGCCAAACTTAAGATTCAGTCTTCTTCCACTATATAACTGTACTGTATGGTATTGGAAATGTTCCAGACTCAGCTTTAAGAAAAGTACACTGTATGATTATTCCCATTGTCTGCCAATGAACTCCTGCTAACGACTGCTAAAATGTTTCACTCTCTTGACCCAAATGATACCTTAGAGGTGAGAAACGTCTTGCTCTCCTCTAGGGGATCTTTTGATACATTGAGATTAACGTATAATAGTGAACTGTACAATGTGTTCTGAAGCTTACTTGACTACTGACATGCAGATATAGTAATTCTTCTTCTCTGTTCATGTCTCTCCACAACATCCTGTCCTTTGCAGGAACTAGTAGATATGTCTTTTGCTATCTCTCCTAATCCTTGTTCTGCCAACCATTTGCACAAGCTGGTTAGGTAGGTTAAGCACTGCTTTTTTTTTATCCCTCTTGCCTTCATTATGTCTTGTGAGTATTGAATTTTCCAAGCCCTCTTTCCACATTATCCTAGAAATTTCAATGATCTTTTTCTAGTGTTAAAAAGTATCCTTTTTTTTTCCATTTTCTCTAAAACTTCATCATTGCTCCTATGTTCATTCCATGGTATTCTCAGCATCCTTCTGTAGAACCACATTTCTATTGTCTCAAGTTTCCTCTTCATATGAGAGGAGATTGTCCAGGATTCATTTAGCCATATAGGAGGACCAATATTACATTCAGTACTCTTTTCTTTGTGTCTAATGTATTTTCCTGTTTCATAGCACTTTGCTTAGCTTTTGAAAAGCACCTTTTGCTGTCCCAATGTTTCTTCGAATTTCAGTGTTGCATTTTCCATCCTCCGTTAAAACATTTCCTAGATATCTAAATTTTTGTAGTTGCTTGATTTTGTTAGCTCCAATTTGTAATTTGATTGCTAAATTTTTGAAAGTGGCCATCGTGAGATCAAAAAGTTTGAAATGAGCCCAGTTTGTGACGTCAAAAGGAAAATACAGAAATCTTTGATGAACAGAAACCTGACTGGAAACTGAGATGCATAAACATCCACTTGTTATATTCCGTGCTAATAGGAATATATACTAGAAAAAGCAAAGTGGATAAAATAAGTAAAGATTTATTGTAAAAAACCAGTACAATAAGAATAAAGGTAACAGTTATGCACAAGGTTGTTGCAAGTCAATACAGTAGTGAGTGCTACTATTGGAAGGCCAACAGATCCAGCTAGTATATTTAGCTACCACCCCCACGAGGGTTGCATGTGGCACAAGGCCGGTTTAATGTGAGTTCTCTGAGCCCGTAGACTCGGCCAAAAATATTCCCTTTTGAACCCGTATAAATGGGTTCAGGGCAGTCTACCTCCCTGAACAAAACTGCCCTTCAGCGGAGCCTCATCTGGGCTCCTCTCTGTTCAGAGGCAGAGAGTTCGACTGTTCAGCTGGAAGAGGTCGCAGCTAGACTCTGTAGTCTGTTGACTTACAGATACTTATAGGTAGTTACTACCTATAGTGTAGTCACTCATGAGGGTGACAGGTTATTCCATTACATCACCTCCCCCGAGCTGAAATTTTCCTCTAGAAAATTTAGCTTTCTGATACTTTCTCTTTTTCAGTTCTGGACTTAACCACACTGTAGGTTTTCTTTTCCTTGTACTCTTTTGAGGTGAATAACATCTCAATCCTGTGGGCAAAGCTGGTGTAGGAGATGTATCCATGTGTTCTGGTATGTTAGTGGGTGATGTTATTTCAAATATGTTGTGCAGGACATCCATTGGAGTTTCTTCATCATTCTGTTGAACGATTTCAGAGTATCTTGGTCATAACTGGTTTACGTGCCTTTTGCATACACATCTTTTTCCTTTCACTATATAGATTACTCTTCTAATTCTATTTGAAATAATTCCATCCTCCCAAAGACATTTTCCATCTGAGTAGTTCCTGAAGAAAACTTTGTCACCAGAAATTCTCTTTTTTATGCATTTTCTTTTTTGGACAAGGCACCACCTAAGAGTATTCAAGAGTTATTTGAAATCACTGGAGCTTTAAATGCATTTAAAACTTCCCAATGCATCATAAAGAGGCATTTTTCAATCGTTCCTTTGAAGCTGAGTCAGAAAGAGAGAAAAAGAAATTGTACATAGAATAGGTTGCACCAGAGATAGTTTCACCCAACACCACCAATTGCTACAAAACCAAAACATTAACCTGAAAACTCGAGTCATGTACTTAAATAGCCTTGTCAGATTGAAACTTTCATATGGATGTCATGTTTGGCACCAATCACATTCAGAAATGTCTAAACTCTCAGCTGTATGTGACCACTTCCTAAGATCAATAGTGAAAAAAGGCTTTGAGTAAGTAAAGCCTGAATGTCTTGGCAAAGATCATTCTTCTTTTAACATTGAACTGCAGGATTATAAACAAAGAACAGTATTGGTTGATTTTGTTGATCTTGCCCGAGATCTAAATATTTTGAACACAAAGGATTTGCCTAAATATATTTTGAATGCAACTGTATACCCTCATCTGCAGATAAAATGTATTGTTGGTAATTTTTCTTTAAATATATATTGTTGATAATTTTACTATAAATGGTTATTGTTAGTAGGTTGATTTTGTTTACCAGCATAGCAACACCTCTATGGGTTATTTAATGCCAAAATCTAAATATTTTGAGCAAATTTTATGGCTTCAACTAAATATATACTATAAATAGGTATTGTTGGTTGGTTGATTTTGTTTAGCGTCATATCAA